ATCCCTGGAGGAGAACATGGAGCATCCCATGAAACCTCCCAGATCCTCCTCTTCCCCTCAGCCCAGCCTAGGAATTCCTCTTTTCCTCCCTGCCCTGCATTTGAGAGAACTGGGGGATGAATCCCTGTTATTTTCCCTATTTCCTCAACTTCTGGAGAGTGGGATTGATTGGATTTGCCCCCAGAACTCTGCTGGAACTCATAAGGGAGATGTGCATCTCATTAATAACCCTGGATATGGCCTTCGGAAGGGGCAGGCTGGGTTTTTTTGGGATAGAATTGGTAAAAATTGTAACTTCTTTAGGATTCAAACTTCCATGGGCGCCCTGGAGACCTGGATTGCAGCTTTCCATCTTAAAAGATGGAAAATCGATTCTCCCCCCTCAAAAAACCTCCCATAACTTGGCTGTGCCAAGAGAATTCCAGGGGTGAGGAGGGGACGTCCCTCCGTGGGAACACCTGGATGGGGTCGCACACCCCCGGAGAGGGGACCTGCTGGAAAGGGGGCACAGGAGTGACCCCGACTCCTTCCTGCACCGGCCGTGCCCGGGAGTTTCCGTGATGCTGGTGCCGTCACCGCTGTGCCGTGACCCCGTGGGGATGTTTCCGGATGTTTCCAGAGGCCATTTGTCCTTTGGGGAAGGAGAAATCGCCTTCGGGGAACTGAGGGCGGGTGGAGGATGGACAAATGCCCGGCTGGTTTGGGTGGGAAATCCCAACTCCTGCTCATCCCAAAGATCTTGCCAGGATGGAAAGGGACGTTTGGGGTCTGGGGGTTTCTTTGGGATGGGGATTTTCCATTGGGTACCTCCGGGAAGGACACTCCAGGCAATTCCCATCCTGTCCCTGGCTGCCCCATCCTGCTGCCCCTGGGAGCATCCCCCTCCCAAAAATCCCCGGTGCCCAGCAAAACTCTTCCATCTCAGGGTGGATTTTGCAGCTTTTCCGGTGCCCCTGGGCAGGGGAGCTTTGGGTTTTTCTGCTGCCGAGCTCAGGTGAGATGTTGAGAACGCGGAGGTGGCGGAGGATTGGGCTGAGCCCAAATTTGGAGCGTTTCTGCTGTGGCTTTGTGGGGCGGCAGGGTGGGGACACAGCCCCGGCAGGGAACACGTGCTGCGAGCAGTGACGCTCGGAGCCGGTGGCGTTTCCGAGTCTAAAACCCCTCACCCAGTTGCCTTTTGGGGTTAAAAAAGAATTTTTCGGCACCAGCGAACCCCGGGGTCTTGCATTTCCTCATCCGTGTTTCTCCCGCCCCCATGGATGGACGGCACATTCCACCTCCCCCAGGGCCACCTGCCATTCCCAGGGAATGGCCATCCATCCCGGGATGCTCTGGATCCCCAGGGAAGGGACGGCAGCCCCGTGAACTTCCCCCAGCCAGGGACATCGGCCACCCCTGGCCATCCCTGCCCGGGCACGGCCGAGCAAACATCCATTCTTTTCTCTTGGAAGACACCCGGGGCGGAAACGCTTGGAAGCGGCCCCGAAAGGACATTCCAAGTCTGGCAGGAAAGCGGCCCCGCTCGTCTGGCAGGAGATGGGCTATTGTCTGTCCCGGTGGCCGGCCGGGATTCCTCAGGTCCTGCCTGGAAGAGGAAAATCTCCGTGTGTGTCTTTATTTTTTCCTCTGCCCTCTCCCAGGGGTGTCGGGGCTGCTGCTCGTGCCGGCACTGGGGCCGTTATTGCTCCTCTGGTGTTTCCTCCTTGGATTTTTCCCTGTTTTGCCGGGTCTCCTGGGCTGTGGTGGCGGGATGAGGTTTTCTTGGGATGATTGGGCACCACGCTGGGCTCCTGAAGGGAAGAGCTGGGAAGAGCCATGGACGAAGAGTTTTGGGAGGGAGGAGAGCAAAACCTACAAGAGCTGGGACAGCCTGATGGCCAGGAGAGGGCAGGGTCATCCCAAAAAATCTGGGCAGCCAACTGGCCAAGGGTGTCTTTGCTGTCCCTGGGGTGGGATTGTCCCCAAATTGAGCCCTGAGGCAGGAGGGATGTGACACAGGGTGAGGGATCTTGGCGGCTCTTGGATCCCCGAGGTCCTGCAGAGCCAGGATCCCGGCATCTCTTGATCCCCACATCTCGTAGATCTCCAGGCTCCTGCAGCTCTGGAATCTCGTTGCCCCTTGAATTCCCAAATTCCTGCAGTGTCAGGATCTTGGTGTCTCTGGGATCCCAAACTCCTGCTCTGCTGGGATCTCAGCATCTCTTGGATCCAAAGGCTCCTGCACTGAAGGAATCTCAACATTTCTTGGATCCCCAAGATCTTGGTGTCTCTTGGATCTCCAAACTCCTGAAGTGCCAGGATCTCAACATCTCCTGGATCCCAAGCACCCGCAGTTCTGGGATCTCAACATCTCTTGGATCCCCAAGCCCTTGGAGTGCCGGGATCTTGGAATACCTTAGATTCCCAAACTTCTGCAGTGCTGGGATTCTGACTTCTCTACGATTCCCAGGCTCTTCAGGATCTCCCCATCTCCTGGATCCCAAGCTCCTGCTGTACCAGGATCTCGGATCTCTTGGATCCCAGACTCCTGCAGCGTCGGGATTTTGGCATTTCTTGGATCGGGGCAGGGTGGGGGTGTTCTGGCACCTCACCCCCTTTTCCCGGCCCCTGGAGCTGTTCTGCTCCACGCAGCCGGGGCCGATAGGATCAGGCCTGGCTGGCGGGCAGGAAGGGTGGCACGGCCAGCGGGAGAATTGCAGGACGTGCCGTTCGCTGGTGCAAACCGGGGAGTAAAAGCTGCCACCATCCCCAAAATCTTGGAGTTGCCGGGCTGGGGTTGGGAGGAAAGGTGAAATATCGGAATTTCAGGGCTTTGCTGCTTGTGGGATGAGCCCCCAAAACGCTGTGAGGGAAGGAAGCATCCCATGAGGATTCAGGATCTGTTTCCATCCTCTGGGCTGGCGTTTTCCATCCCAACCCCGTTCCCTCCCTTCCTCCCCACCCAGGAGTATTAAAAACCGAGAAGATCCTTGCCCCAGGCAGCCCCGGACCCCACACCTGGAACGAGATAACTGCGCCTTTTCCCCTTTTTCCCTTTTTTCCCCGTTTCCTCGGCAGGATGGGTGATGAACCCTCAATGAGGCCTCTTTCAAACTCGGCCCTATTAAAGCGCTTGGCCCCATTTTAAGAACAAACTTCCAGTGGCACCGGGAGGTGAAGCACATCGGGAACAGGACCTGCAGGAGGGGTGGGATGGGATTTTGTGCCTGTCTCAACCCAAAAACATCACTCAGTGCCAAGGTGCTGCAGTTGCAGCATCCCAAACCTACAAAAACTTGGATTTTTGTGTGGAAAAAGCACCAAAAAAGCCGGGAAGAAAGGGATTTTCACGCACACCTGAGGGGTGCTCTGCTCATGCCTGCCTCAGTTTCCCCACCTGTAACACATCCCCACAAGGCACAATCCTTGCTGGAGCGGACACAGCTTCCCACCGTGTCCGCTCCTTCCCGGCGATGGATTTTGGGGGCCGGGTGGCCCCGGCCAAGGTGAGCCGGGGCAGGAAGGGGCGCCGCAGGATGCGGCAGCCCCCGGGTGATGCGGGGCCGGGAGGAAACCCGGCGGGTTTGTTCGGTGGAGGGCGAGGGAACCGAGATTATAAAAAGGCCCGCTAAGATCAGAAAGGCTGGCGAGCACAGTGCCCTATTGTGGAGCTGTCACACTTCCCTTTACTTTATTGCTTTTGTCCAACACCCCATTGTTCCACTTCCTTTTGTCCCCTATTCACAGCCCTGGCTTTTCATTACCCAGCCGGCCTTGTTGTTTTCATTTCTTTTGTTTGAAGTTCCTGAGAGGAAGGTTTTATTTTCAGCCGTTTGATTAATTCGCAGCTTGAGCCGGGCTTTGTTTGTTATGTAATTGCTGCCCCCAAGCCGGGCGGCCCAGCTCAGCCCTCCCCACCCCGCTTTGCACCCCCAAACTGGGTTTAGGGGCTGCTGATGGGGGTTTGGGAGGTGTGAGGGCGCTGGGTTTGGGGTGGCAGCCCCCAGGCAGGTGCTGTCCCCATGGCAGGACAATCCCACAAGCCAGATCCCGATTCCCGGCAGCGTCCGGGATAAAGCCCTTCCTTCACAGCCTCCTTTTCCCATTATTCCCACCTGAAAGGCCAGGACAATGCTTGTTCCCGTTCTTGCTGTGTGGTTGTGAGGGTTGGTGGCCTGGGGAAGGCAAATCCCCATGGATGCTGCCAATCCTGGCGCTGGCTCTTGGATACCGCGCCTGGCACCCGGAGCGAGGGGTGGGACACGTTTTTTGGGGAAAAACCCCATGGAATGCCAGGGCTTGGGGTCCCCTTGGGGCGTTACAGCCCATTCCCAATAAAACTCATCGTCATTCCTGTGGTGCCCATCCGGCTGGGAAGGGGTTTGGCACCCATGGGGGTTTTGGTGGGATCAGGGAGAGCCATTCCCGGGGCCAGGCTTTGCCCTGGCAGAACCTTGGCTGGTGCCGTGCTGGGCATTCCCAGAGGAATGTTCTGGTGGCTGGTCCCAGTCCCAAGTCCATCCCATGCCCGGGAGCTGTTCTGGTGGCCAGTCCCAGTCCATCCCATGCCAGACATTCCCAGAGGAGCCGTTCTGGTGCCATCCCAGCCATGGCTGGACAGAGCCAGGATTTCCACTTCCCATCGGAGCGGGAATCCTGCCACGGCTCCGATGGCTTCTAGGCACAGCTCCTGGACAGTGATGGGGACCTGGGGACCCCGGGATGCTGGCACAGGTCCCTGTCACCCTGAGCCTGAGCTTGCTGGACGTGGCATGAAAGTCTCCCCAGTTGTCCTCAGTCCCAATCCTTTAGGAATTTACCCCTCCATTCCAAGATTTCCCTGAGGACCGAGCCCCGAAACACCTGGAAAACCGGGAACAAGAGCTCAGCTCTGCCCATGGCAAACCCCAGGGGCGTTGTCCTCACACCATGGGGTGCCCCTGTGTGGATCCAGGCTGGGAGAGGGGTGCCCATGCCCAGGGGTGCCCGGTGGCTGTGGTGACATCCCTGCTGTCCGCAGGATGTCCATGAGGAGCCCCGTGTCCCCACCCCCGGAGCTGGATGGAGCGGGCGCCATGGTGAACTGCGCCATCAAGACGGAGGAGAAGAAGGAGGGCGGCCCTGAGACCCCGCCGGGGGCTGCCCCCGGTGCCGAGCCCCGGCCCCACGAGCCCCCGGGGCCACTGGCCAGGGATGGCACTGACCCCCAGGCCCTGCCACAGGTGGGTGTGACAGAGGTGGTGCTGTCCCCATCCCTGCTCCAGACCATCCCATCCCGTGGGAGAAGCGGTGGCTGCTCCCCCCCGGGTGCTTTTTCCTCATCCCAAGGAATCAAAAGTGAAATCTGAGGCTCTCCCGAGGTTTTTTGGCTGCTCTGGGGTCATCCCTGGGGTTTGAGGGTGGTGTGGAGCCCCCCGCTGCCCCCTCCAGGCGTTCCTCATCCCTTCAGGCTCTCTTTTCCATTGTCCTCGGGTTTTCCCTCTCCCTGACCTCTCCCTGCACTGCCTTCAGAGGGGAAGGGAGCTCAGAGGATCCAGCCAGGCTGGATAAACGGGAGAAAATCCCAGCATTTCCAGCATGATGCTCTCCAGACGGGATTCAGGAGAACCTGCCTGCATCCCACCAGATGGGGATGTCCCACCCTGGGGGTGTCCCTGGCAGTGCCAGCAGTGCCCAGTGACATTCTGTGTCCCGCAGGAATCCTGCTCTCCCTCCAGGGACATTCCCGAGCCCCGGCGCTCCGCCTTCGAGCCGGCCGGCAGTGGCCAGGAGAAGCTGGACTTCAACAGGAACCTGAAGGAAGGTGGGAAACGTTCCCAAGGGGCCTCTTGGGACCCTTTCCCTGCCCTTCAAAGCTGTGGGATGGACTGAGCCGTGGTGCAGAGCCTTGGGATGTGCTCACGTGGTTGTCCTCTCCTCCCTGTCCCTGTCCCTGTCCCTGTCCCTGTCCCTGTCCCCCTGTCCCTGTCCCTGTCCCTGTCCCTGTCCCTGTCCCTGTCCCTGTCCCTGTCCCTGTCCCTGTCCCTGTCCCTGTCCCCCAGTGATGCCAACCATCGAGAAGCTGCTGTCCAGTGACTGGAAGGAGCGGCTGCTGGGCCGGAACACGGCTGAATCCAAGGAAGTGAAAGGTGGGATCCACCTCCACCAACCTCCCTCCTGCATCCCAGCTGGAAACACGGCCTTTCCCACCAAGGCAGGAGGGGACATCTCATTTCACAGAGATTTGTCCCTTTTTTAATTGATTTTTTTTGGGGGGGTGAGCATCTCTGCTGCCTCTGGGTGCGTGGGATTGGTGGGGGGTGGGTTCAGCATGTGGGGATCTTTCCATTCCTCCCCAGTCTGACATTCCCTGGTCAACCAGCGGTGCAGGACTTCTCTGCTTGACATTCCCCACCCCTGGATCTCCCCAGGTGGAAGGAAACGGGAACCACACTCCTTAAATAAAATCACCACCACCCCACCTTGTGCTGCTGACCCTCTCCCCACTTCCCAACCCTCTGACCCTCATCCAGGCGGGTCTTTCCCTCCCCCAGGAACCCAGGAGAGCCTGGCAGAGAAGGAGCTGCAGCTGCTGGTGATGATCAACCAGCTGTCCACGCTGCGGGACCAGCTGCTGACGGCGCACTCGGAGCAGAAGAACATGGCCACCATGCTCTTCGAGAAGCAGCAGCAGCAGATGGAGCTGGCCCGGCAGCAGCAGGAGCAGGTGGGGACCGTCCCTCCCTCCGGGGATGCCTTTGGGGATGGCTTTGGGGTCCCCTTTTCCCTCCCCAAACCTTCCTGGGAAAGGTTTCCCTTCCTCGGAGCTGGGAGGCCCGAGGGTGGATGGAGATGGGGATGGAGCTCTTTAATAGGAACAAACCAGCCCAGCTCCCTGCTGCCTGTGCTCACCTTGAACATCAATTTTTCCTCTCCTGAGGGCAGGGGTGACACCGCTGTCACAGCTGGGGTGGAGGTGGCAGCTGCCTCCCAGCCCTTGTGTCCCTCGAGGCGGCTCAGGGGCAGCTCAGCCCCTGCTCGTGCCCTTCCCACGGCCCTGGGGACGCCCTGCAGCCCCTTTTTGGTGCTTCTGGCCGGGTTCTGCCAGGTTGGAGGCCAGCCTAGCGCTGTCCTTGATGTCACCAACCGTCCCTGTCCCCTCCCCAGATCGCCAAGCAGCAGCAGCAGCTCATCCAGCAGCAGCACAAAATCAACCTCCTACAGCAGCAGATCCAGGTAAAGGCAGGAGACACCTCCCCTGGCCCCTTCCCCGGGTCCCCCTCCCCACGCTGGGTGACCGCATCCTCCCCGTGTCCTGCTGTCCCCTGCCGGGGGTGACACTGCGGCGTGGCGCTGATCTGGTGTCCC